GGATGGGCCTGTGCAGGGCTGAGGGTTGGACTGGATGGTCCTTGTGGGTCCCTCCCAACTCAGAATATTCTGGGATTCTGTGAATGGATGGAAGAATCACCACTGTGGCTGACAGAGAACAGACAAACACACAAAAGTGGTGTTTCTGTTTGGATGAAACACCAGTCTGTGGTTTCTACCTAAAGGATGTGGAGGTCTTGCAGCAGATGAGAATTGAGACCTCCTGTTCCACGGGGTTGCAGGGATGTTGGTGGTGTGCAAGGCTGGGGTGACACTGCCTGCTTCTCTCCAGTGAGGTCCCCCAGCTCCCTCCATTGCTGCTGCTGGGCTGGGGGTGCCCTGTCATGCTGGGCACAAAGTTCACCCCAGTTTGGCAATTGAGAGAGAATGTCCAAGGGCTGGGACAACAAATTGCCAAAATAACTGCAGAGCAAGTCATTCGCAACTGGCATTTGCTGCAGCCAAGAGTTTCTGAGCTCAGTGTCCCCTGGCCATTTGTCCTCTCAGACGTCGTTCCTGACCTTAGCAAAGGCCTCTGAATTTGAGTGGCAGAAACTGTGACACCACGTTCCCATTATAAAATAAATCCATGGGAACTCTGTCAGACCCTGTGCCTTATTATTCTAACTAGGACACTCTTCTGACCAGATCTGAGTGTTAAAAATCTTCTGATGTTCCCTTTATGGACAGTTATTTCCTTTGTTATCCTGTCACCTCATCCCTTCTTTTGGTATTTACCTTTCTGTGGTATTTAATAGTTTTTTTCACCCATTTCTCTTTTGTTGGAATGAACAAACAAACCTCCCTCACTCTATTTTAATACAACTTGCCCTCCACTCCCTGAGCAGCCCATGGTGCCATCTCCACCTATCTTCCTGCTTGAGCAAGGTGTTCTTTATCATGAGCAAAGAGCAGAGTCCCCCAGACTCTGGTGGAGGCCTCAAAAGCTGAGATCAAAAGCTGGCTCTGGTATTTCCCTGGCAAACTCATCAGCCCGTGCTGGAACTGCAGATAGAGTTTTCCTTCCACTGCTTCCATGGTAATTCCCATTTGTGTGTCCTCTGTTCCCAGGCAGCTTTGTTTTAATTTGCCATCATTATTATTTAAAACAGAGGCTTCACACATTCTCACCCTCTCAACACTGCAGAGTGAACCCATTTCATCTTTTTTTGGTCTAGATTTGTTCACTGTTCATTTTAAGGAATTTGTTCTGTCCTACCTAGGCTGATATTTGTCAGTTCTTACTTAATCACTTAACCTGGCTTTGCAAACAGAGCAGGTTGGAAAAGACATAAAACCCGGTCAAACATCTTTTCTCAAACTGCTCAGGACAAGAGACCCAACAGAACCTGCAGGAGTGAAGCTGTGAAGGGAGTACACCGTGAAATTGAGGTAACAGGGGAAAAAACCCCAATATTTTGTTTCCATCTGTGTTTGGTGTGGAGGTCCCCACGCCTGGGTCTCTCGTTTGTGAGTGTCTCCACCGGGGTCTGGCTCAGACCGAAGCCTCAGGAAGTTCTGGAACATCGAGATGAAGGAAATCAAGAGATTTCAAAGACCAGGGAGATGAAAACCTGCCCCAGCGCAGGGATGGAACTGCTGAACTTCTGTTACTTACCCTCCACACTGACTCTGCACCGTGACAAAACCTTGGGGGTCAGAGCCAGGCCCCTGAGAGCAGCAAAGGGCCCTGGTGGCCCTGGCAGGAGGGGCCTTTTCATGCCACCTGTGCAAGGTCAAACCAACTCCATCACCCACAGTTTCTTCCCCCCTGAAGGCAGCTGGAGACAGTGTGTATCCCCTCTGAGCACATCCAGTGTGCTCCTTTCATAAGCCAGGGCTGCCCAGCTATTAATGACAGCTGATATCAGACTGCAGCATGGCAGCAATTCCTCACACAGCCTTAATGACAGACTTTCTGGTAAGCAAAACCATTAGAAGAGGAATGTTGCCAGGAATCCTAAATCCCTGACTCTGACATGCTGAGGTTTGGAAGCTTCAAATTCAAAGCTGCCTCATGGGAGATGGTTTGTCAAGATGGTTTTTGACTCAGGAATTCTTTCAGCAGTGTTTACCCTTCCTCAGGTCATGCCATGCTGACAACACTGTCACTCCACCTTCGCCTTGGTCTCTGCTCTGTTCATGTTTGTTACCTGCTTTTAGCCCTTTATCCATTTGCACATTTTTAAAGAAAATAAGTTCCTTCAGTTTTGTCCTGGTAACTGTACACAGAAATTTCATGATCATCTCATGTTTACTGATCAGAATCAGCAGGATATTCCACCTGCCAGGCAAGG